TAGATTCAAGGGGAAAGTCTGTCCTTTCCCTTTCCAGCTTCTGAAGGTTGCCTGCATTCCTTGGCTTATGACCTTCACCTGTCTTCAAAGCCAGCAAGAGCAGGTTGAGGTCTCACATTGCATTACTCTGATCTCTTCTGCCTCTCTCTTCTACTTTAAGGACCCTTGTGAATATAATCTCCCCTTTGTAATGTCAGCTGATTGGTAACCTCACTTTCACCTACAACAATTGTCGTCCCTTTGCTATGTAACCTAACAAATCATATTCATATTCATAGGTTAAGATGTGGATGTCTTTAAGGGGTCGTTATTCTGCCTCTCACATTGTCTGCTTTAATATAAGTAAACACACTTGGTGGATGTCAGCTTTGACTTCAATACTACTGCTACTAGTAAGAACAACAAGGAATTATTATCATAAAAACTCTGGGAAGTAGGTATTATTACCATCTTCTCCCTTTTCAAGGAAAATTGAGGTCCGAGAAGATTTAGTATTTTGTCCCAAGTCACAAGACTGCTGCTATGAGGTGTCCCAGAGCAGGGTTGAGGCATCAGGACCAGATGTCTAAAGCAAACATCCTTCCAGCCAGAGGAGCTACCTGTGTAAAGGCAGCCCCTTCACCAGAAAAGGCCCGGTCCTTGGAGCAATAGGTCTGGTTGAAATCCTCATCTCCCTGCTCACTGCACTGTGGCCTGGGCAAATTATTTGAACTTGTCATGCTCCAGTTTCCTCCTCCTCCTCTGTTCAGGAGAGGCCATGCCAGGGCCTAGGAAACTGTATGTGGAGAAAGGAGAAGACACAGGCAGGGGCATGTCCCATGTCTGCACCAGTGTCATGGCTCCTTGGCTCTCAGGTCCACACCTTCCCTGTCCTGCCCTGGAGGAAGGGTGTTCCCTAAACTCCAGGACCCTGTGTCAGCAGGGCTAGCGGACTGGTGGCCCCTGACCCAAAGCATCTGTGAAGTGTGCAGCCGACTCCATAAGGTGAGAAGGGCCAGCACAGGGCTCCCTCAGCATCTGCACCAGAGTATAACACCCATCCCTTGGGAGTCCAGGCCCCCAAAGTCTCAGCCCCAGCTCCAAGAGGAAAAAAATGGGCTGAGAAATGCCCTGGGAGATGGCCAGACTGGCCCTCCTGGGGGAACCAAAAAGGCTGCAAGTCACAAGGTGCCTCTGAGAATCCAGTCTGCCGCTGTTGAGGTGTGGGGATGGGCAAGTGCTTCTGCTGTGGCTAATGACACTCAATAACTCAAAGAACCTGGGCTTCCCCAGCCTTCACACATGGGTCTCCCCTGGGCCTCCCCAGCCCTAATGCAGGGATGGAGATGACAGATCTGCAGAGGGACTTGTCCAAGGTCACACAGCTCACATGTGGAGGCAGAGCGGGAATCTGAGCTTCAGGGGTTACAAACATTTTGCTAAAACCTGGACTTTGGAAGAATGGAGTGGGGCCCTGCAAAGCTGTGCCCACAGGTTGTTGTGGCCTGTGGGTGGGCCAACCCTTCCCTCTGTGGTAGACAGGGAAGGCCCATGGAGTGGGGAGGGTGAGGCGCTTGGGTAGGTTGAGGTGGAGAATGAAGCGGGAAAGAAATGAGGGGAGGGAGCAGGGGACAAGAAAGGGAAGGAGGACAAGGAGGGGTGACCATCCACGGCCCCCCATTCTCCAGGCCCAGCTCAAGTCTGGAGTAAAGAATGAGCCTTGGCCTTTGGGGGCCTTACTTGTATTGGTAGAGGGGATCAGAGGTCCCCATCTGGCCAGGCACTGCCCTCAATGTGCTGTGACACCTTCCATCAATCACCTGCCACCCAGGCTTCAGTCCTCTCCTCAGTTAAAGAATGTGGCCATAAAAATCCCAAAGGCAGTCCCCTTCCCTGACAGGCAGAGGGCTCTGGGTGGCCTCTGTCAGATGGCAGGTTGGGACTTTCTCATTTGTTTATTCAGCAAATATTTACCAAGCACCTATTGAGTGCCAGGCAGGAAGGTGTGGCTGAGCTTTCTACCTCTGCTTGTACCAAGGAGATTCTGTTGTACTGAGGTGCAGGGGTGTGTGGAGCATGTTAGGCTGTGATTTCCTCAGTCTGACATGCACGGAGGTGAAAACTACTCATACCAACCACACATTTTTAAAGCCAGCCCAGCACTGAGGCTCACCACCACCCCCAGGGGAAAAATGCCAGCCTGGGAAGGGTTCCTGTGGCTGGGGCAGCCTGGCTTTGCCAACCCAGTCCCAGCAGTCAGCAGGATATGGACAGAGCCAGGAAGACCTGCAGGATGATGGAATCAGCAGATTCAGCTGGCCAAAGCCAAGCTGGCCACAGATAACAGAATGGATGGGTCAGGAAGATGCACTTGACCCTGTTGGGGCTCAGAAAACAATACCCTGAAGTATGGAGCTTTGGCATGCTGAGGACTTTGAACTAAAGAAACTGGAAGGTCACAGAAGCAAGTTCTTTCTGATCTTCCGCCCTCCCATCTCCTTCTCTTTCATCCCTGAAGCAAGTTATAGAAACCAGAATTCAGCTTCCCCAGGATGGATCCTAGAAGCTAGAACCTGTTTCCCTCAAAGCCAGCCATAAAACCTAGAAAGGTTATTCTCTCCCTTCTCCTGTCTCCCTCATTCCAAAATAGTCCTGCCCTATACCCAGAGCTAAAATGAGTGAGTGAAGCATAGGTCTCAGATCACTGAGTTTATGGAGCTCAGCTTGGGGGATCACCTGGGAAAAACGAGCCACAGATGCATCTGAGGCTCTTTCTTCGAAAGACAGTTCTCAGGAGGTTTTGTATTTACATATTTTCCTTAAAACGTGTGGGGGTGGGTGGCAGGGAGATGAATGATTACATACTTGTGTATGTGCCCAGTAAATCTACATTTTATGTAAGATAAAGTGAACACTGGAAGAAAATGGGACTAGAGGAAGCGTATGTCTCAGGGAGGGGTGAAGGGATGATCAATCTCATTTTATCTTTGTTCTGTACCTGCGAAGATAAGCTAGTAATCAACATTATCAGTGTGGAGCCTTTTGAAAGGGCTGGTTTTTGTTTACTCCTTAGTGAAGTTAATGATAGCAAGGAAGAGGGTAAAAAATGAGGCGAGTCTGACCTCATCCCATAATAAGGCCTGTCTGACTTCCCATCCTGTCATCGTCATGAAATCAGCTTTCAAGGATTCTCTCAAGTCCCCCTGGCCAAGAGAGGGCCTGTTTAGTCATTTGGGGGCTTAGAATTTTATTTTTATTTCTCAAAAGAAGGCTGCACAGAGAGGCTAAGAGTCTGAGCACACAGGCCTGTGGGGTTCCGTACTCTGCCTGTTGTTACCAGAAAGGGGTCCCAATCCAGACCCCAAAAGAAGGTTCTTGGATTTCAGGCAAGAAAGAGTTTGGGGCAAATCCCTACAGTGAAAGCAAGTTTACTAGAGACATAAAGAAACAAGAGAACGCCTGCTCCAGAAGCAGAGCAGTGGCATGGGCTGCTTGACTGAGTACTGTTGTAGTTATTTCTTGATTATATGCTAAACAAGGGGTGGATTATTCATGAGTTTTCCAGGAAAGGGGCAGGCAATTCTTGGAACTGAGGTTCCCTCCTCCTTTCAGACCATACAGGGTAGCTTCTGGACATTACCATGGCATCCGTAAACTGTCTCAGTGCTGGTGGGAGTGTTTTTTAGCATGCTAATGTATTACACTTAACATAAAATATACACTGAGGATGACCAGAGGTTATTTTTGTCACCATCTTGGTTTTGGTGGCTTGGGGCCGGCTTTACTGTATCCTGTTTTATCAGCAGGGTCTTTGTGACCTCTATCTTGTGACACCAGTCCTGCTGACCTCTTCTCTCATCCTGCGACTAAGAATGCCCATGCGGCCCAGCACGTCTCAGCCTTATTTTACCTAGCCCCCATTCAAGATGGAGTCATGCTGGTTCCAACGCCTCTGACGTTACCATGAGATCATACCCTTTGTCTAACCACATTTCACACGGCTGTCCATTTTTCATCAAACCTAAGCATAAAAACAGTTTTCCTTGGGTGTTTGGGTCTTCATTTCTGAAAACTCCCATGACACATAAGAATTCGATTACATAAATTTGTTATGCTTTTCTCGTTAACCTGTCTTTTGCTATAGGAGGGCTGGCAGTGACCCTTATTATTAGTGGTGGAAGGTATCTGAATTATCAGCAGTAAATCCATACAGGTCTGCAGCAACTTCAGTTCTTGCCTCCTCAGAAGAAAGAATTTGAGGCGCATAAGGAAGAAAGTCAGAGGCAAGTTTATTTTTTATTTTATTTAATTTTTTTTTTGAGACGGAGTTTTGCTCTTGTTGCCCAGGCTGGAGTGCAATGGCGCGATCTCGGCTCACCGCAACCTCCACCTCCTGGGTTCAGGCAATTCTCCTGCCTCAGCCTCCTGAGTAGCTGGGATTACAGGCACGCGCCACTGTGCCCAGCTAATTTTTTGTATTTTAGGTAGAGACAGGGTTTCACCGTGTTGACCAGGATAGTCTCGATCTCTCTCTTGACCTCGTGATCCACCCGCCTCGGCCTCCCAAAGTGCTGGGATTACAGGCGTGAGCCACCGCACCCGGCCCAGAGGCGAGTTTATTAAATAGCCACTCTGGGAGGCCGAGGCAGGTGGATCACGGGAAGTCAGGAGTTCAAGACTCAGGAGGCTGAAGCGGGAGAATTGCTTGCACCTAGTAGGCGGCAGTTGCAGTGAGCTGAGACTGCACCACTACAGCGACGGAGCGAGACCCCCTCTCAAAAAAAGAAAAAGAAAAAAGAAAAAAGCTTTAGAGCAGTAAAGAAAGGAAAGTATGCTTGGAAAAGTCCCAAGCCGGCGACCTGAAGAACAAGTGCCGTATTTAACCTTGATCCTAGGACTCCGTAGGCTGGCCGCTTTCCCATGATTCTGCCCTTAGGGTGGGTTGCCCGCATGTGCAGTGTTCCCCTTGCCCTTGGGGGTGAGCCCGCACAGTGTATTTAGGAAGTTGTATCTGTGCTTACCTGAGGCTTTCTTCCCTTTTCCCGTGGCGTGCCCCTGGAAGGTCATACTCCGCCATTTTGTCTCTTAATGCACATGCCCAGGAAGTTGCTTCTCCCGGACATCTGCATTCAATTAATACTTTAGTGGAACAGGTGTGGACCATCAGGAACTGGCCTCTCCCTGGCGCCAGCTGCCTATTTATCACTTTTAGAGAGGCAATGTAGTCATTGCTGAATTATCACCTGACATTTCTAGTGGGTGGGGGAAGGGCCCTCTCCTGCCCCAACTGGTGCCTATCTACTGTAACATTACGATGGGTCACATAAAGTTTCTGCCCCTACAATTCCAGCAGAAATAAAGGCAAAGGGGCAATGTGAAGCAGACACAACGAATGAGGTTCAGAGTGGAAGTGTAACAGGTGAAAGAAAGAGAAGAGCTCTCTCTGCTGCAGAGAGAAGGGCCCCAAGAAATGGGCTGCTGGTAGAATGCAGCGGGTTTTATAGATGAGCATAAGGAGATGGTGTCTGATTTACATAGGGCATGAAAAATTGGTCAGACCAGGTGTTCCACTTGCACAGCATGCAAAAATCTGGCCACCTCAGCCTAATCTTTTGTTCTGCAGATGCTTCTCTGCATTTGGTGCCATGTTGCCTGCTTCTTTACTGCATACATAGTGACAAACAAAAGGGAAGATGGAGCCTCTATTTTGAACATACCTGGCTTCCAGGTAGCCTTTTTCTATTGGCATAGCTGCTAGCATTCACTCCTGCATGCTTATCTATGTCTGCAGCTCAATTTTTCCGGCTGATTTTTGTTAGAAGAGAAGTTATTGGCTGGGCACGGTGGCTCACACCTGTAATCCCAGCACTTTGGGAAGCTAAGGCGGGTGGATTACTTGAGGTCAGGAGTTAGAAACCAGCCTGGCCAATGTGGCGAAACCCTGTCTCTACTACAAATACAAAAATAAGCCAGGCGTGATGGTGCACACCTGTAATCCCAGCTACTAGGGAGGCGAAGGCAGGAGAATCCCTTGAACCCGGGAGGCGGAGGCGGAGGTCGCAGTGAGCCAAGGTCGCACCAGTGTACTCCAGCCTGGGCAACAGAGTGAGATCCATCTCAAAAAAAAAAAAAAAGAGAGAGAAAGAAAAAATAAGAAAAATTACTTTGGGGCTGATTTTTGTTAAAAGGGAAGCCTTGCTGAAACTCTGTTGCCCTTACTATCTGCCTAAATAATTTCTTTCTAGCTCCTGTATAAAAATCTCAGTTCCTGGGTCTAGGAGTTTCCCTCAGAGGGGGCCCAAGATGATGGATGGTCTGGCCATGAAAAATCAAAAAGACCCCAGCCTTCTGGCGGCATGCGAGGGCTGGTTTAGTCCTACCAAAACAGGGCATTGCTAGGGCCACCCTGGCCTCTGGGTCCCAGGATGGGGAAAGAGGGTGGTGGTGGTGGTGAAGGCCACTGGTGGGATTGTAACTACCCAGTGGGTTCTTCCTGCCCACTGCACAGACAAAAGCCATTCACTGAGACCACGACATTGCAATAAAGAGTTTAAGAGACATGAAGTTGTTCACACCACATGGGACATGGAGTTATTATTCAAATCTTGAAAACTCTGAGGCTAGGATTTTTCAAGAAGAGTTTCGTGGGTCAGGAAGACCACTTCTGGGTGAGGCCACAGGATCAGTTGGTGGGAGTTGGGGTCAGAGATACAAAAACATGAAAAGACATATCAAAAAGCTAGTCTTAGGTTCTACAAGAGTGATGTTATCTGCGGGAGTAATTGGGGGAGTTGCAAATCTTGTGACCTCTGGAATAATGGCGTAATCGCTTATGTCTACACCTTAGAAGAATTCAGGCTCCTCACAGCCTCCTAACCTGGTGGCCTTTCATTAGCTTTAGGTTTAGTTTTGGGGAAGGGCTATTATCATTTAAATATAAATGCCTCCCAAAGTTAGCGTGGCCTAAGCCTAGAAATGACTCAGGGCTGTTTGAAGGTTAAAGGCAAGATGGAAGTTGGTTAGATCGCATCTCTTTCAATGTCATAAGTTTCTCACTGTTAAAAAAAACTTTTGCAAAGGCAATTTCAGGATTAGAGTCCCCTAGCAACACCTCTCTGTCACTCCCAGGGTCCCAGGTCCTGCAGAATCACAAAAACCTGTCTGTGACATGACATGTCCCTTTGCTCAAGGGAGGGCTGCGTGGAGCTGCATGCTGTGCTGAGTAAGAGCAAGGGTGTCCAGGGGAAGTGACGAGGCTGCAGCCCCAGCTCACCTACCCTTCCTGGGCTTCATGTCCATTTCAGAAGGGCCCAGCATGAAGGGCATCAGCAGTAGTTGCATGGGTTGAAAGCACACAGCCTGGGCCTTGTGCACTGGGCATTGGTGAAGGGACATTGGCTCTGTGATTCTACTTCTCCCATCTCCACTTCCTCTACTGGCTGCAGAACAGAGTCTCTTTCAGCATCTGGGAGACACCCTGTGGGTCCCAGGGAGTTAGACGCTCCATTAACCCAGGACAATGTCCTTTCACAGCAGAGCCCTTGCCACCCTCAAGAACACCCTCGGATGACACAGAGTCCTCAAAACCTGAGCCATGGGCTTGTTCAACATCATGTTCTTGAGCTCCAGACTCAATGCATCAGAAACTCTGGGGTTGCTTAAGTTTGTATTAAAGGATACTTTTCAACAAAAAGTGAAATTGTGATTCTAAAGCAGTTATAATATGAACATCGTTAAAGACTTTATTTAATTCATTATTAGTGGGGAAAGTGAGGAGAGCAAAGGTCACCTGGTATCCATCAAGCAGACCATCTTGAGGCAAAACTCTTCATTTGAGGAACTCAGAAGTAATTAGAATTCCATATTTTCTAAAGTCAGCATCTAGCGCCAGGATTTTTTCTCAGAAATTCATAAGTAACTAGAACTTCTAATGCATCTCCGGAATGCATGATGTTGAAATTCATTGTGCAACCCTTGCTGACACCAAGGTACCAAATTACCTACATGGCTAATATGGTCCAAATTACCCTTAAGCTCCCACTTGAAGGTCCGTAAATACCCCTAAGGAAAATCCACCTTGGCAAGCTCAGTCCTGTCTTGCGGAAGCCCCCTGCTGTACTCTGCTGCAGGGTTCTTTCTGTCTAATGAAACTTTCCTCTTCAAACCTGTACTGCTGTTGGTACATTCTTTTGCCACATATGAGCCAATCACTCTCCGCTGCCAGGGCTCTGACACCCTGCCTGGCAGGAACCTACAGAATGTTTCAACGTGTTCAAGGGAGAATCCAAAGAATAGACACATTTACAAATCAGGTATATTAAAATGAACTCACTTACTTTGCATTGCTGTCAATCATTTACAATGTACGGATTTGTAAAACAGCACAGTGAGATACCCCCAAAGCGTGTGATCTAAACAATTCATAGTTTTCCATTAAAGCACACATTTTCCCCTCCGTTAAGAATCTCCAGCTGAAAGACAAGAATAGAGAAAAAAGGATAAAAAGGAATGAGCAAAGTCTCCAAGCAATATGGGACTATGTGAAAAGACCTAATATACGCTTGATTGGTGTACCTGAAAGTGACGGAGAGAATGAATTCAAGCTGGAAAATACTCTCCAGGACATTATCCAGGAAAATTTTCCTAATTTAGCAAAGCAGGACACTATTCAACCCCAGGCAATACAGAGAACACCACAAAGATGTTCCTCAAGAAGACCAACCCCAAGGCACATAATCGTTAGATTCACCAAGATCGAAACGAAGGAGAAAATATTAAGGGCAGCCAGAGAGAAAGATCAAGTTACCCATAAAGGTAAGCCTATTAGGCTTACAGCAGATCTCTCAACGGAAACCCTACAAGCTAGAAGAGAGTGGGGGCCAATATTCAATATACTTAATCAACAGAACTTTCAGCCCAGAATTTCATATCCTGCCAATTTAAGCTTTACATTTGAAGGAAAAATAAAATCTTTTAGGAACAAGCAAGTACTCAGAGATTTTATTACCACCAGGCCTGCTTTACAAGAACTTCTAAAAGAAGCATTATACACAGAAAGGAACAACCAGTATGACCCTTTCTAAAAATACACCAAAAAGTAAAGAGCATTAACATAAAGAAGAATTTTTATCAATGAAAGGACAAAATAACCAGTTAATATCAAATGGCAGCAACCCTAAATTTAAATCGACCAAATCTCCCAATCAAAAGATACAGACAAAATCCAACGGTATATCCAAAGATATACATAGACTCAAAATAAAGGGTTGGAAAAAAAAAAAAACGTACCAACCAAATGGAGAGCAAAAATAAATAAATAAAAAGCAGGAGTTGCAATTTTCACATTTGACAAAATAGATTTCAAAGCTACAAGGATACAAGGGTAAAAGGATTAATGTAATAATAAGAGATCTTAACACCCAGATACATAAGACCCATAATGAGATTTAGATTCAACAAGACAGAAAATTGATAACGATATCCGGGACTGGAACTAAGATCCAGAACAAATAAACTCAATAGAGCTCTCCATTTCAAACACACAAAATATACATTTTCCACAAAATCTAACGATATATCTAAAGATATACAAAGACTCAAAACAAGGGGATGGAAAAAAAAAACTCACCAACCAAATGGAGAGTAAAAATAAATAAATAAAAAGCAGGAGTTGCAATTCTCACACTTAATAAAATAGATTTCAAAGCTACAAGGATGCAAGGGTAAAAGGATTAATGTAACAATAAGAGATCTTAACACCCAGATACATAAGACACATAATGAGATTTAGATTCAACGAGACAACAAATTGATAACGATATCCAGGACTTGAACTCAGAGCCAGAACAAATAAACACAATAGAGGTCTCCATTTTAAACACATAAAATATGCATTAACCACTTTAAACACTCAAAATATTGATCGGCCATTATTGAAACCGATTTTAGGAATGAAGTAATATTCCTTTTTCCCTCTTTTTCTTTTTTTCCCCCTTCTTTTTCTCTTTTTCCCTCTAAAAAAAAAAAAAAGAGAAACTTGCTGATTTTTTTTTGGAAAAAAAAAAAAAGAAGAATCTCCAGCTGAAATGATCCATCAGGATTTCGTCAGTCTGTGGCCTGGCCAGCTGGGGGCCACACCCTGAGGGAGGCCTGCAGCTCCTGGTGAGTGGGAGAGGACGGGGGAAGCTTGGCAAGGACCTAGGGTTCCCACAGTGAGGATCAGCATGGCTTTGTATAGCCCACCTCTGGATGCCTCAGAACCCACTAGGAATAAGCACTTTACTTTTATTGAAGTCTGTGAAATAATTTGTTCCTAAATGAATTTGCTAGGGAATTGTGGGCTGTAATTACTGACAGACATTGCCAGTCATTGAAGGTCTTTCAAGCAAAAACCGAATAGAACCAACTAGAATTGCAGGTGGGTGCAACACCAGTGAGGCAATGGGAGGAGGCTGCATGGGATGCAGCCAGGTGGTTTGCACGCTGTGTCCTCATCGAGCTCCAGGTGTGGAAGACAGAGGATGATGAAGGAGCTGGCTGAGGTGGCCCCTGAATTCAGATTCCCTCCCCAAGGTGGTTCCTGAGGGGCATGGGGCCTGATGGAGTTCAGTGGGGCTTCAAACAGACAGACCTGGAGTCCCTCTCCTGGTCCTGCTGTTCCCAAGTCAGTGACCCCTGAGCGAGCCTTGCACCCCTTAGGCCCTCGCCACATGTGCTAATAGCGTTGGAAATAGTGACTTGAAGCCCCAGCTCTGTCCTGGCTCAAGGGGCACTTGGTTCCCTTCCTCCCACCAGCGGGATGGTACCTCTGGGTTGCCAGAGGAGCACTGGGCAGCCTGGCTCACTGCAGCCTGCAGGAAGTGGGCAAACATCAGGTCTTGTGTTGGGGCTCCCTAATATCCAGGATCTCAAAAGGGTCTGGGTAGTGTCTGCTTCACTCTTGAATGCAGCCTCAGCCCTCAGGCCCTGGTTACAGCATGGCCAGCAACTCCTTTTTCTATTATAGTGGATCCTGACTCAGTCTTTCTGCCACCTGCCCCTTCCCCCTCCACTCCACACACAACCCCTGTCAGCTAGACCAGTAACACCAACTGCACAGTCTGTGCAGGCA